TATATCACAAGCTAAATTCAAATCCAATTCATCATATTCAACAGCTGATGAAGTTAAATATTTAATATAATCAACAATACTGACAAGAACTTGAGTGTCTAAATAATGATCAGGAGCATACGATACAAAATTATCTATTAAAGACAATAATTCATTATCATATAAAATAATCTCTTCTAAATCAGTAAATAAAATAAGCTTAAATAAATGATTCATCTTATCATTAACTAATTCTAACTTAAATATGAAAGAATCAATTAATTCTAAAGCTTCTTGAAAGACATTCACATAAAGATTGGTGAATATCTCAGAAATAAGATTATAACACCTGTCAAACATTAAATTAACTGATTTAAAATCATCATTAGAATCAACTAAATTGACTAAAAGTAAAATATACTCAGCAGCCAATATAAACTTATCTTCATCAGCAAGAATTGACTGTAAACTACCAATAATTTGTTCAGAGAACTGTAAAGAGAACTTCTGAATATTCTCAGGGAATGACTCAACAATTATTGTCATAAACTCATTAAGTGAATCTAAGAAGTATGATCTGTTAAATACTATAATTTTAGAAAGAATACTTGGTATCATTTCAGAGATATAAGGTCGAAGTTCCTGGTTTTCAAAGAAAAATGATGTTGCTAAACAAGCTTCAACTTTGATAATTTCATTCTGATGTTCTATTAAATTATAAATAAACGTCATTTGTTCATATGAAAATTTACTATCAAGCACACAATCTTCAATATAAGCAATAAAGTATAAAGCTTGAGATACTAAGAATAACTCATTGGAATGAAGTAATGGGAATATAGTTTGCATAATGAATATATCAAATTGATCTTTTCCAATAGCAAATTTTAATTGTTTTTGGGAAATAACTAACAATCCTAATATTCCATATTTGGTTTTACAATCTATTTCTGAATTTCTCAATCTATCAACAAGTAAAGGTATTAAATTATTTCTTACATCATCATTAGAATCTATCATCTTTAAAAATAAATCACCTAAACCTTCTCTTAAGTCATTAAGTGAATAACTATACCTTTCTTGTAAATACTTCTTAATATCTAATTCAAACAATGATTCAATATCATCAGTATAAGCACATCCAGGAATAATAAATGAGTTTAAGAGGGTAGCT